CAACCCCCCCCCCCCCTCCGCCCCGTACGCCTATGTTTTTGAAGCTCGATGACTGCATTTCTTGCGTTTTCTGAAGCAAATTCGTAAAAGAATTGCGCTAACATTTCTGACAATTCGCTATTTCGCCAAGGCAAAATTTTAAATTGAAAGGGCACCTTTGCCCGCTTTCCTCTCCTGGTAAAGGGCAACAAGGGCGGCTGCCCCTCCTGCCCCCCCCCCCCAGTTCCGGCGTCCCTGCATCTTAGTCAAAGAGCTCTATATCTCATAGCAACTGTAGGCATGTCACTATGCTAAACATACCGTTTTTAAAGAGTGGTTGCTACAGGACTATAACATGTTCGTAAATTGCATTATTTTAAGATTGTAAAGATAATTGATTGTGCTATAAGAGAAGCAATTATTAAATAAAATTTGGGTCACGATGTCGTTAAATAAAAATATCCGCCATATTGAAACCTCAGATCGGTTATTCAGCGCTTGCGTTTTCATCATGGAAATGATATATGGAATGCGCACGTCATCACGAAATATGTCTCCATTAATTGTGTTTTTTGTATGTGCCCTAATAAATTCTATATTGAGTTTGAAAAGCTGGGAGTAGAAACTGCAGAGTTAAAATAGATCAGACTATGTCCCTATCTCTTGCTGTCTAGTTTACAGTTCAAGTAAAGTAGCCTATACGTTCTTTCAAGGTATAAATAAAATATTTGCTTGGAAATAGGAATTTTATGTCTGCCGTCTTTTTATTATTAGCGATAAAGAAATAGCTTTAGATAAGGCTTGCAGGATTCTGTGCCTCAATTGAACAGAGTAGCTATAGGCAAATATTTTAAGACCGAAGGGTGCAGGGGCGTAGGAAGCGGGGGGGCACGGGGGGCACGTGCCCCCCCAAATTTTTTTAAAGGACTAAAAGTGCCCTTTTTTGTGATAAAAAGTGCCCTTTTTGTGTTGAAAAGTGCCCTTTTTTGTGAGGAAAAGTGCCCCTTTTGTAGAAGCTAATGTCGCTGTAAATACTAAATTAAAACAATAAGTGCCGTTTTTGTGTGGAAATTTACAAATTTTTTTAAAAATTAGGTCACAAACATAAATTTCGGTATGATACGACGGAAAATTTTCCTCAGGAGAAATTTCCCACCCCTCCCCCGTCGACAACATTTCCGGGAAAATTTTTTTAGGTGCCCTTTCCGATAGTAATGTGCCCCTACAAGCCGGTGCCCCCCCCCCAAACTCCAGGTGCTTCCTACGCCCCTGGAAGGGTGTCATTAGGTCTTTAGTCTTCGGACGAGTAAAGACTTCAAAATTTGCACAGTCCACCTCTTCACCATATCTGCATAATTGGAGTTTTAAGGCGATTAAAATCATATCTTCCGCGTCGTATCCTAATTTTAATCTACAAATCCTTGATTCAACCACATTTTGATTATTGCAGTAGTGTTTGGGGTAACTTGGGTAAGGGTCTGGCACAAAAACTCCAACAATTGCAAAACAGAGCCGCTCGTATTATTAATGGTTCTCACTATAGTGTCCGCTCACACGAGGTTCTAAGTGAATTAAATTGGTCAAACCTAGAAGAAAGACGATCTCAGCAATTTAAAACGCTTATGTTTAAAACAATGAATCAGATGGTTCCAGATTATCTTTCGGATAAATTTACGTCCGTTAATCTGGTTCACAACCATAATTTACGAGGCTCTAGTTCTAAACAATTCGTCCCTAGACCTCAGACTGAGGCTCTCAAAAAAAGCTTTACTTATCGGGGAACTGTTCTGTGGAATAGCTTGCCTGAGGAAGCGATTAATGCTAAATCAATTGCTGAATATAAGTCTCATATAGCTATAGTTTATAAATTACTTCTTTAATTGTATATATTTAATTGTATTAATCTAATTATAGGCTACTTACTTAATTGTTTTTATTATAGTTATCTACATATATTTGGTAGTTTTGCACGGCTCCAGGGAAGAGCACACTATGTGAATTGGACTCCGTGTTTTTAAATAAAATCCTAATAATAAAATAATTATAATAATAATTTTCGGGCTACGATAGTTATGGGGTTGTGGGTATTGGCGTAATTTATGCCCTCACCTTACTAGGCAAAATAATGTTAAATTAAAAGATATGTAAAATTTATAGTTAGTAATTTCTGTTAATGTTAATAATTTCAGTAATAAATGGCAGGAGGAACTTATTCTAAGCCAAAAATATTCCAAAAACGTGTCGTCATCCTTGCTATATAATATAGACAGTAAACGAGCTGCGGAAATTAAATGCAACATCCAATGCGTGAAAGATTTTGTAACAATATCGAACGTTATAGTTATACATGACGGCAGACGTAAAACTAATACTTATATTAGCCTTGACAAATGGTGCATGGGGCAGAGGCGTAGGAAGCGTCAAAAGATTGGGGAACACCTGCTTCCAGGAGCGCTTTTGGATATTGAAAAGGGCACCTAAACAATTTTCCCCGGGAATCTTTCCCGTCATACCATACCGAAATTGCACGTTTTTGACCAAATTTTTTTTTAAAACATAAAAATTTCCAAACAAAAAGGGCACCTTTGATGTTAATTTACTATTTACAGCGACATTAGCTTGTACAAAAAGGGTACTTTTCATCACAAAAAAGGGCAATTTTGATCCTATGAAAAAATGGGGAGGGGGACGTGTCTCCTGTTCCTACGTCCCTGGCATGGGGAGTGCTTTAACAGAACTTACTATATATAGAAACATTGGAAAGTCCATAGTTGCCGTATTGAAAATAAACGTAGTATTGTTTTGGGCATTAAAACATGCATCATCTGTTACCATTGAATTTGTTTGTTCTTGCAATTTTCGTTTCAGCATGATAATATTTAGATTTTTAAATAAAAACGTCAGCGAATCTATTATAAACACCAAACGGCCATTGTTTGAAAATTTGTGTAATAATCGAGCAGTATATAATAGCCTGAAGCCGGCTTTCCATTAGGCGGAATTTTGCGCTCGAAGCGGAATTTTTCTTTTTCCTTTGATTTCTCGGGTGGAACCATAGACATCTTATATACACTAAATAGTGCATCTAATTATTCTGCAATTCAAAAATTGAAGCCGTGATTGCAGTCTCAGTCTGAGAAGATTAATATGTTTTCCATTTCTTAAACAGGGAACTGAAACATTAAGTTAAATCTATTCCAAATACATTTTCAAACTATTCAAATGATGAAAGTTATTGTTGTTTTTAAGCGTTTATTAGCAAGTGGGAACGACCAACATGGTGGCCATCTATTCCGGCAAATGGAGCTAGGTAACCGCTGGAATATTCTTGACTTCAATTTTACTAAAAGAGATGCGCTATCTAGTGTGTATAAGATATCTATGGGTGGAAATCATTTCAAAAGACAAAGAAAAATTCCGCTCCGCGCGTATGGAAAACCGGCTTAATTCGCATACGCATAGTTTTCTCTTTGTGTGCGACATATTTAGCGAATTTGTGTATTTCTAATTTTTGTTGTAGTGAATTAAGTGTCATGGCTTCCTTGAAACTGCAAGAAACAGCGCCAGATTTTACAAGGTTTAGGAAGCTCTTCATGCCGACATAACATCTTATTGACGGCGTGGAATTTACTTTTTACTTGACCCGTCCGGTTACGCAGCGATCGTATTGTGAAATCGAAGCTTGCATGTAGCTGTTTCTTCAAAGAACATCTGTGGTTTAGCTCCACCAGCCGACAAGGTGTATGAATACGATGCCTCCAAACATGGATAGATCTCCTCAAGCAAATATCACGAGAGACAACGTTTTAACGTTAAAGGAAACCTGCAACTAATACATATAGGTTAAATTACACTAGCAACATTGCATACATGTACTATTATAGTTAGATATATAGTTTAATAAAAAGTCGCTAGAATGTGTTTGAATAATTATACATTAGTAAAACGTTTCTAAGAAGATTCAATAAAAAGAAAATAAATTAATTCAGCTCTTTACGGTTTACTTTTGAAATAATTTTGGGGGAAATGATTTTCTAAAATATTCTCTTTTAAATTAATCTCCGCGCGTTCCAAGAGGCAAGAGTACCAATTTCGCTTCGCCATTTGGGTGGTCATTGTACTCATCTCAGAAATACGGTTGCGCTGTTTGCGAAGAGTGGATTAGAAAGTACATGTAAGAAAGCTTAAAACAGTAAGTTATAAAGCACTCTTATTTTGTAGAAAAGCCCAAAATAAAAGGAGAGTAAATTAGAAATACATGCATGCAACAATCCCTCGCCTATATTCTCCAAACAATGTCTTAACATGAAGTATTCGTAAATACGCCGACACTGAACGCAGGCACGCGTTGCACGTCATGTTAGTCATGGCAACACGATAATTTTTTAAAAATATTTTTGTACAAATCTGCAAAAAGGAGATGAAATTGAACACTTTTAAATACACAACTATCAATTTCTAAAATATATAAAGTAGGTATATTATTTTGGTTTCTATGGGCTTTATTTTAATGTAAAATTCGAAACGAAACTACGTATTAAAAACGTTTTTAAATGTGAATTGAATTTTAACGACTTTTTGCCGATATTAATCTCTTCAACTTATTACTCACACTTTGAAATGAAATAAATTTGATTCGTACAGGATGCTACAATCTTGGACATAACTGGTTGAGACTATCTTCCCCCCTATAGAAAATTCGCGTATTTTTATGATAAACTCCATGTTGAATCATGTTGCCATTCTTGAACCCCCGCTCCCACAACTCAATGTTGAGCTTGTATCATGGTATATTACCAAAAGTTGTTTCGGCGTTCTTCACAACATTGAACTGGGGGGAGGGGGAGACAAAGTTTGTTTTGTCAATGTTCAATGACTTTGTAATATTAGCTGGAATGGTCTCAAGGGTTTTGTCCAAGATTGTCTGAAACACACTGAATTTAATTGTGCCTGATAACTCAACCTTTTTAAATTTTCTTCCACTCCAGTAGTCTGAAAGATGGATATACACGTTACTTCTTGTTTTTCGAGCAATATATATATTTGTTTGCATGAAAAGCGAGCAATATAATGCCTATTTGAACTTTTCACATCCTAAAATATACGCATGAAACGCATGAATTTTTCTTGTTGTTTCATCTAAAATATATAGTTTTCTACTGTCAGAAGCGAGTAATATCATGTTACTAGGGCATAGAGGTCGAGACACATGCATTGGGATTTAATTCAATTATGTAAATATCACGTTCAAGTGTTGCTGTATATAGGTATTTTTTATAAGATGACATCATTTGTTCTATAGTTTATGAGCCTCAAACTTGCTTTTGAAACTTATAATTTAACCCGAATTTTTTTATATGACGGTTAACCAAGTATAATCTTTATCGTGGTTTGATAAAAGAACGGTAAACAGGCCATTGGAACGGTAAACTGCGACTCCAATTTAAAACAATGACTAGACCTATCATTTACTGCTATCCCCGTTTACCGTTGATATCACATCAAATCTTTTCGTTAATCGCTTGAAATGTTCTTATATATTATAATAAAAGGTTTATGCTCCAGAAGTCATGGCGATATACTCGCATTTCTTTACTATGGTCAATTTGAACATTGTACAGGCGACTCTTTGTTCCTCGTGGGGGGTCGCCATACTATAATAACCTGTGAAAAGTGCGGATTGCCTATATGAAAATAGCTGTGTAGACAACGTTTAGTATGTCCATGATTCCATTTCCTTTTAAACTCTGTAGCTATGTTCTATAGCAGTAGCTAATTGGTTCAAATGGAGCAGGGAACGTTCGCACGTTAGAGTGTGAATAGCCGTTTTCTGAGCAAACCATGTTATCAAGTTTGACCAATTCGGTTACTTTTTGTGTTGGATATGTTTTTACATTCACTATACGAAGCTTTCAATGATGATATGGAATAAGGTAGAAATCAAGTTTACCAAAAGTCCAATAAATAATTTACTTTCATCCAGACGTGTATTATGTCCTCCTAATTAATTTCCCTTTACTTACAATATAAATATAGATTTTGCATCGCCTGGAATGATTGCTAATATGGATAAAAATTTCGGTTACCTACAGTACTTGCAGTGTAACATATATTTAATAATTTTTCCTCCATCGCAACACTAATCTATCTGCCTTTTTAACCATAACTCTCAAACAATTGGCATGCTTGTAAAATTCCCACATTCAGACTGTCTGAAACACACTGAATTTAATTGTGCCTGATAACTCAACCTTTTTAAATTTTCTTCCACTCCAGTAGTCTGAAAGATGGATATACACGTTACTTCTTGTTTTTCGAGCAATATATATATTTGTTTGCATGAAAAGCGAGCAATATAATGCCTATTTGAACTTTTCACATCCAACACGTTCTACGATAGGGTTGCATATTCTATTTAGCCTAATTTTTGGATAAATGCCTACATATCAGCTCATATCGTCAAAAAACGGGCATAATTTGTTTCCGTCTTGCAGAATCAAACTAATTTATTAAAAATAGTCCAGAAAAATGTCAATTCTGGACCTATTGCAGGGGAATGATCAAATCTGTCCAAATGGGATAGATCCAATGCAATTACAAAACATTTATGAATGAGTAATTGGAGAAGTGGTTTTGAATGCGTTCAACAGCACTCGTTTTTCAATATATCGAAAACCGCCTAACATAACACAAAAAAAACCTAAACAGTAAATACACACTTTGATTGACAACAGATTAAAAAAAACTTTATTTACCCACTTTATTAAGATACATTATATACAATAAAGGCAATAATATACAAGGAATCTATGGTACGAATATGCTATAATTCACAATAGTTTTGGTTAAGATAGCATCAGCTAAGGAAAATGGAAATCAATTTACCGATTTTAGCGCTAATGAAAATGGTTTTGGATGCATCCAAAACCAATCCCTAGACAAATGCAAACAAATTAGGCAATTCATAGCTCATGAGAATGGTTTTGGATGCGTCCAAAACCAAACCTATAGGAAAATGCAAATCAATTTACCGATTTTAGCGCCAATGAAAATGGTTTTGGATACATCCAAAACCAATCCCTAGACAAATGCAAACAAATTAGGCAATTTATAGCTCATGAGAATGGTTTTGGACGCGTCCAATACCAACCCTGTAGGAAAATGCAAATCAATTTGCCGATATGTCCAAAACTATCCTAGAGAAATGCAAACCAATTCGCTGATTTTAGCAAAAAATCTCCAGACAAATGAAAACAAATCAGCCGATTTTAGTGCGTTTGGAAATGGTTTTAGATGCATTCAAAACCAATCTCTAAACAAGTGCAAACAAATTGGCCAATTTATAGCTCATGAGAATGGTTTTGGACGCGTCCAAAACCAACCCTGCAGGAAAATGCAAATCAATTTACCGATTTTAACACTAGTGAAAATGGTTTTGGATGCATCTAAAACCAATCTCTAGACAAATGCAAACAAATTAGCTAATTTATAGCTCATGAGAATGGTTTCGGACGCGTCCAAAACCAACCCTGCGAGAAAATGCAACTCAATTGACCAATATGTCCAAAGCTATCCTGGAGAAATGCCAACCAATTCGCTGATTTTAGCAAAAAATCTCCAGACAAATGAAAACAAATCAGCCGATTTTAGTGCGTTTGGAAATGGTTTTAGATACGTCCAAAACCAATCCCTAGACAAATTTGCCAATGTATAGCTCATCAGAATGGTTTTGGATGCGTCCAAAACCAACCCTGCAGGAAAATGCAAATCAATTCACCAATTTTAGCGCTAATGAAAATGGTTTTGGATGTATCTAAAACCAATCTCTAGACAAATGTAAACAAATTAGCCAATTTATAGCTCATGAGAATGGTTTCGGACGCGTCCAAAACCAACCCTGCGAGAAAATGGAAATCAATTGACCAATATGTCCAAAACTATCCTGGAGAAATGCCAACCAATTCGCTGATTTTAGCAAAAAATCCCCAGACAAATGAAAACAAATCAGCCGATTTTAGTGCGTTTGGAAATGGTTTTAGATGCATCCAAAACCAATCTCTAAACAAGTGCAAACAAATTGGCCAATTTATAGCTCATGAGAATGGTTTTGGACGCGTCCAAAACCAACCCTGCAGGAAAATGCAAATCAATTTACCGATTATAACACTAGTGAAAATGGTTTTGGATGCATCTAAAACCAATCTCTAGACAAATGCAAACAAATTAGCCAATTTATAGCTCATGAGAATGGTTTCGGACGCGTCCAAAACCAACCCTGCGAGAAAATGCAAATCAATTGACCAATATGTCCAAAACTATCCTGGAGAAATGCCAACCAATTCGCTGATTTTAGCAAAAAATCCCCAGACAAATGAAAACAAATCAGCCGATTTTAGTGCGTTTGGAAATGGTTTTAGATGCATCCAAAACCAATCTCAAAAAAAAGGGCAAACAAATTGGCCAATTTATAGCTCATGAGAATGGTTTTGGACGCGTCCAAAACCAACCCTGCAGGAAAATGCAAATCAATTGACCGATTTTAGCGCTAGTAAAAATGGTTTTGGATGCATCTAAAACCAATCTCTAGACAAATGCAAACAAATTAGCTAATTTATAGCTCATGAGAATGGTTTCGGACACGTCCAAAACCAACCTTGCGAGAAAATGCAAATCAATTGACCAATATGTCGAAAACTATCCTGGAGAAATGCAAACCAATTCGCTGATTTTAGCAAAAAATCCCCAGACAAATGAAAACAAATCAGCCGATTTTAGTGCTTTTGAAAATGGTTTTAGATGCGTCCAAAATCAATCCCTAGACAAATTTGCCAATGTATAGCTCATCAGAATGGTTTTGGATGCGTCCAAAACCAACCCTGGAGGAAAATGCAAATCAATTCACCAATTTTAGCGCTAATGAAAATGGTTTTGGATGCATCTAAAACCAATCTCTAGACAAATGCAAACAAATTAACCAATTTATAGCTCATCAGAATGGTTTCGGACGCGTCCAAAACCAACCCTGCGAGAAAATGGAAATCAATTGACCAATATGTCCAAAACTATCCTGGAGAAATGCCAACCAATTCGCTGATTTTAGCAAAAAATCCCCAGACAAATGAAAACAAATCAGCCGATTTTAGTGCGTTTGGAAATGGTTTTAGATGCATCCAAAACCAATCTCTAAACAAGTGCAAACAAATTGGCCAATTTATAGCTCATGAGAATGGTTTTGGACGCGTCCAAAACCAACCCTGCAGGAAAATGCAAACCAATTTGCCGATTTTAGCGCTAGTGAAAATGGTTTTGGATGCATCTAAAACCAATCTCTAGACAAATGCAAACAAATTAACCAATTTATAGCTCATGAGAATGGTTTCGGACGCGTCCAAAACCAACCCTGCGAGAAAATGCAAATCAATTGACCAATATGTCCAAAACTATCCTGGAGAAATTCCAACCAATTCGCTGATTTTAGCAAAAAATCCCCAGACAAATGAAAACAAATCAGCCGATTTTAGTGCGTTTGGAAATGGTTTTAGATGCATCCAAAACCAATCTCAAAAAAAAGGGCAAACAAATTGGCCAATTTATAGCTCATGAGAATGGTTTTGGACGCGTCCAAAACCAACCCTGCAGGAAAATGCAAATCAATTGACCGATTTTAGCGCTAGTGAAAATGGTTTTGGATGCATCTAAAACCAATCTCTAGACAAATGCAAACAAATTAGCTAATTTATAGCTCATGAGAATGGTTTCGGACACGTCCAAAACCAACCTTGCGAGAAAATGCAAATCAATTGACCAATATGTCGAAAACTATCCTGGAGAAATGCAAACCAATACGCTGATTTTAGCAAAAAATCCCCAGACAAATGAAAACAAATCAGCCGATTTTAGTGCGTTTGGAAATGGTTTTAGATGCATCCAAAACCAATCTCTAAACAAGTGCAAACAAATTGGCCAATTTATAGCTCATGAGAATGGTTTTGGACGCGTCCAAAACCAACCCTGCAAGAAAATGCAAACCAATTTACCGATTTTAGCGCTAGTGAAAATGGTTTTGGATGCATCTAAAACCAATCTCTAGACAAATGCAAACAAATTAACCATTTTATAGCTCATGAGAATGGTTTCGGACGCGTCCAAAACCAACCCTGCGAGAAAATGCAAATCAATTGACCAAAATGTCCAAAACTATCCTGCAGAAATGCCAACCAATTCGCTGATTTTAGCAAAAAATCCCCAGACAAATGAAAACAAATCAGCCGATTTTAGTGCTTTTGAAAATAGTTTTAGATGCGTCCAAAACCAATCCCATTTATGAATGAGTAATTGGAGAAGTGGTTTTGAATGCGTTCAACAGCACTCGTTTTTGAATATATCAAAAACCGCCTAACATAACATAAAAAAAAACTAAACAGTAAATACACACTTTGACTTGACAACAGATTAAAAAAAACTTTATTTACCCGCTTTATTAAGATACATTATATACAATAAAGTCAATAATATACAAGGAATCTATGGTACGAATATGCTACAATTTACAATAGTTTTGGTTAATTAAGATAGTATCAGCTAAGGAAAATGGAAATCAATTTACCGATTTTAGCGCTAATGAAAATGGTTTTGGATGCAATCCCTAGACAAATGCAAACAAATTAGGCAATTCATAGCTCATGAGATTGGGTTTGGATGCGTCCAAAACCAAACCTATATAAGAAAATGCAAATCAATTTACCGATTTTAAATGGTTTTGGATACATCCAAAACCAATCCCTAGACAAATGCAAACAAATTAGGCAATTTATAGCTCATGAGAATGGTTTTGGACGCGTCCAATACCAACCCTGTAGGAAAATGCAAATCAATTTGCCGATATGTCCAAAACTATCCTAGAGAAATGCAAACCAATTCGCTGATTTTAGCAAAAAATCTCCAGACAAATGAAAACAAATCAGCCGATTTTAGTGCGTTTGGAAATGGTTTTAGATGCATCCAGAACCAATCTCTAAACAAGTGCAAACAAATTGGCCAATTTATAGCTCATGAGAATGGTTTTGGATGGGTCCAAAAGCAACGCTGCAGGAAAATTCAAATCAATTTACCGATTTTAGCGCTAGTGAAAATGGTTTTGGATGCATCTAAAACCAATCTCGAGACAAAATGCAAACAAATTAGCTAATTTATAGCTCATGAGAATGGTTTCGGACACGTCCAAAACCAACCTTGCGAGAAAATGCAAATCAATTGACCAATATGTCCAAAACTATCCTGGAGAAATGCAAACCAATTCGCTGATTTTAGCAAAAAATCCCCAGACAAATGAAAACAAATCAGCCGATTTTAGTGCTTTTGAAAATGATTTTAGATGCGTCCAAAACCAATCCCTAGACAAATTTGCCAATGTATAGCTCATCAGAATGGTTTTGGATGCGTAAAAAACCAACCCTGGAGGAAAATGCAATTCAATTCACCAATTTTAGCGTTAATGAAAATGGTTTTGGATGCATCCAAAACCAATCCCTAGACAAATCAGCCGATTTTAGTGCATTTGGAAATCGTTTTAGATGTATCCAAAACCAATCTCTAGACAAAGGCGAACAAATTAGCCAATTTAAAGCTCATGAGAATGGTTTTGAATGTGTCCAAAACCAACCCTGCAGGAAAATGCAAATCAATTCACCAATTTTAGCGCTAATGAAAATGGTTTTGGATGCATCTAAAACCAATCCCTAGACAAATGCAAACAAATTAGCCAATTTATAGCTCATGAGAATGGTTTTGGACGCGTCCAAAACCAACCCCTGCGATAAAATGCAAATCAATTGACCAATATGTCCAAAACTATCCTGGAGAAAAGGAAACCAATTCGCTGATTTTAGCAAAAAATCCCCTGACAAATGAAAACAAATCAGCCGATTTTAGCACTTATAGAAATGGTTTTGGATTCGTCCAAAACCAATCCCTAGACAAATGCAAAGAAATTAGCCAATTTATAGCTCATGAGAAAGAAATGCGAACAAATTAGCCAATTTATAGTTCATGAAAATTGTTTTAGATGCATCTAAAACCAATCCTGTGGGAAAATGGAAGTCGATTGACCGATGTGCCCAAGACTAATCCTAGAGAAATACAAACAAATTCACTGATTTTAGCAAAAAATCCCCAGACAAATCAGCCGATTTTAGCGCTTATGGAAATGGTTTTGGATGCGTCCGAAACCAATCTCTTGGATGCATCCCAAACCATTTTAAATCGGTAAATTGATGTCCATTTTCTTTTGGATTGGTTTTGGACGCATCCAGAACCATCCTCATGAGCTATAAATTGGCTAATTTTTTTGCATTTGTCTAGGAATTGGTTTTGGACGCATCCAAAACCAATTTCATTACCGCTAAAATCGGTAAATTGATTTCCATTTTCTTATAGGATTGGTTTTGGATGCATCCAAAACCATTCTCATGAGCTACATATATATTGGCTAATTTTACTGCATTTGTCCGGGGATTGGTTTTGGATGCATCTAAAACCAATCCCTAGACAAATGCAAACAAATGAGCTAATTTATAGCTCATGAAAATGGTTTTGGATGCATCCAAAACCAATCCTATTGGAAAATGGAAATCATTTTACAGATTTTAGCGCCAATGAAAATGGTTTTGGATGCATCCAAAACCAATCCTAGACAAATGCAAATAAATTTGGCGGTTTCACAGTTTACGAAAATTGTTTGGGTGTGTCCAAAACCAATTTGATAAGAATATGGAGCCTAATCGACCAATTTTCTGTAAGTGATTATGAAAATGGTTTTGGATGTATCCAAAACGAAACCTAGAATTAATTATATAAGCTGTTATAAAAACCGTTCGTGATATACTTATAGTCAATGTGGAACAGCAATCAGTCTGCGTCTTTTGCTTTCTGGCTTTTCATAAAATGGCGAATCTGCCTCCTTGCATCCGTGTGCATCTTGGAATTCGAGTGAAGGTAGAAGTCCGGCAGATAAACACATTCCTTTGGCAATTTATAATTCCAAGGCAGTTTTTCATTTGTCAATGACAATAAAGATGGAACATCTTTCAAAACCGATAAATCCTGCAAAGAAAGTTAAGAAGCACATTTATCTCTCAAGTATATACATACCGTACAGTATCATAAACTGTTTTTACTTTACATGGTTTCTCAAACCTCTTACTGGGTTGTACAAAACCAGGCAGACAATTAACAGAAAGGAAACATATTAATACATACTGTAGTACATACATATAGTATGAGGAATTAAGTATATGTAAATCTATCAGCATCAAAACAGCTGAAAATTGTACTTACTGCACAGTAAGGACTTCAATGATATACTTTAAACTTATTAGTTATTGTAGCTATAATTATATCTATAATAGTGTTATAGATACAATATGGAGATTATATATAGATAGCTCATAGCTATAGAGTGTGTTATATGGAACGGCAAAAACACTATACCTGCAGGAAATAAAACAGTTTCATATGCAGGGCAATAGTGTGGAATAAATCAAGCTTAGAAGGAGTTTTGTGGTGATTAAAGTCACAGAACTTAGTGTGTTGTAGCTATGGGCGAGGCTAGGATCTGTCGCTAGTTGTTCAAGTCTTTTGTCTTTATAATGTGATAAAGAACAGGAAGTAAAAAGAACATCATGTGGGAAAATGTTGGAAGTAGTAATGAAGAATCAGACTGAAAAGTGAAAACAAAACTTTTGTCAGAAAGTGAATGCATATAAAGTGATCGGACAATATACAGTAGAAGGACAAATGCATGGTATAAACATCAGATTTATACCACATGTTTGGATTAAAGTAGTAGTGCTATACTTAATGTTCAGTGGCCTCAAAGTTGGCATTGTGTTTCCCAGGGCTGTAGCAACCGGGGTGGTGTTGGGGGGGTGGGGGGGTTGTGGTGGTGGTGGGGGGGGGTTATGGTCTGCAGCACCCCAAATAATTTCTAAACTAGCGAAAATCTGTAAAGTTTGAGAGGGAAATAATGACCTAATAATCGCCACTGATTAATCAGCCCCCCCCATACAAAATTGCTTCCTATGGTAGTGGTTTCACATGAACTCATAAACAATTATACAATGTGATATTTGCTGTGTTGGTGTAGTGTACTCAGGTGAATAAGATGCTTGTGATGTTACTCTTGAGTGTGAATCGACACCGGGCAGACTTGAAAAATATGCCTGGCCACGGTGGGAATCGAACCTACGACCTTTGGAATACTTGCCCAATGCTCTGCCAACTGAGCTACGCGGTCAGGTCGGTTCGAGTATGCGATATTTCGGAACTGAGTCTAGTTCCTTCGATATCAGTGTAATCTAATGATCATGATATTTGCTGTGTTGGTGTAGTGTACTCAGGTGAATAAGATGCTTGTGATGTTACTCTGAGTGTGCACCCACACCGGGCAGGCTTGAACAATATGCCTGGCAACGGTGGGAAGCGAACCTACGACCTTTGGACTACTAGCCCAATGCTCTGCCAACTGAGCTATGCGGTCAGGTCGGTTCGAGTGTGAGATATTTCGTAACTGAGTCTAGTTCCTTCGATATCAGTGTAAACTAATAATCATGATATTTGCTGTGTTGGCAAATATCATGATTATTAGATTACATTGAAATATCATGATTATTAGATTACACTGATATCGAAGGAACTAGACTCAGTTCCGAAATATCGCATACTCGAACCGACCTGACCGTGTAGCTCAGTTGGCAGAGCATTGGGCTAGTATTCCAAAGGTTGTAGGTTCGATTCCCATCGTGGCCAGGCATATTTTTCAAGCCTGCCCGGTGTGGATTCACACTCAGAGTAACATCACAAGCATCTTATTCACCTGAGTATACTACACCAACACAGCAAATATCATGATAATTAGATTACACTGATATCGAAGGAACTAGACTCAGTTCCGAAATATCGCATACTCGAACCGACCTGACCGCGTAGCTCAGTTGGCAGAGCATTGGGCTAGTATTCCAAAGGTCGTAGGTTCGATTACCACCGTGGACAGGCATATTTTTCAAGCCTGCCCGGTGTGGTTTTTCAATAATCAGAAGTATATAATGGTAATACTAGATTTTCATCTACATGATCCTTCAACTGTTATTCAATCAAGTGTGATGCCAACAAAATCTTGATATTTACCCATAACCAACATGTGGCAGTACATACAGTAAATACATGAACTTGTCGTTAGAGCTTGACAACTGGTGTCTGTACCTCAGTTGGTTAAAGCACTGTATTGCCAGTACCAATATCACAGGGCCGCAAGTTCAATTCCTGACAGGGGCCTGTAGATGAATTTTTCACAACTGTTTCTGGTTAGGTCTAGGCTAATAAATATATATAAATTTCCACTCGCTAATATCCATTTACAAGACCCTTCAACTACTTTATATAATGCTAATAAATGATGACTTTCAAGACTTGCTAAAACTTGTGTCAGTCACTTATAGAAGCAACTTGTTCTTTACCAAATCTAATTTGTTTTAGATACATCTCTACTTCCGCTGTAAATATTGAAATGTAAAATAAAATTCTCCCATGATAAATACTGTAGTTGATTGAATTAATCTGCTAACCAAATGCCTGGGGATAGTACATACTAGAAAACATTTATAAATTATAACTACAGTTTAGTTTTTGTTACATGAATGAAATATCCAAAATATAGACTACTGATCGATTGACTAATTAAAACAATATAACACACTATTTGATACAAAAACGCATTGATTTAGGAAATGCGATAGCATACTTACACATTTACTACAAAATTTGATCTCAATGAATGAGAATTTGGTACAGTACTCAAAATTATGTCACAATAAATGAATGAGAAATGATACAAATGAGAATTGTGATCAAAGTTTAGCATAGTGTATTTTTCAGTACTAAATACAATTCATTCAGATACTTATAATTACTCCCGCATTCAATCTGAAATTACTCCTGCATGACGTTCTGTTTTACTTTGAGTTCTTTGTTGCATTATCCTAGCCTCGGCCATAGCTACAACAATAACACCACTCTAAGTTGAGTAAGTTCTGGGACTTTAACACCACAAATACCCCATTTTAAGCCCGATTTATTCACCCACTATTGCCCTGCATATGAAACTTGTAATTTTGTCGAATACAAGGTCTAGAGAGACAGTGTGACAAGTGACAACACATTTCCAGTTATAGATAGCTATGGAGTGTTATAGATACCTATGGACTGTTATGTATATGGGCTAACTTAGTGCATATTTTAGTCTTTGCAACCACTAAGCTAAAATTATGATTGGGCTATTTCGGTTGCTCATACATTGAGAAAGTGCCCAAATAGGCGATTTCACTAAGGGACCGCTCATTATTTATTGTACAGGGGGATTGAGGAGAAACTGGGGTGGGGGGGGGGCTTTAAATTTTTTAAAACCTGAAGGGGGGGGGCTTTGAAAAAACACAGAGAGACGAAATAAGGGGGGCTTTGAAAAGATTTACCAGTTTCAAAAAACATTAGTAGTTTTAAAAATGTATCACAAAACAACTTAACAACAAATAACAATGTTTATAGACCTTTAATATTCATAAATGGAAGCCAAATAAAAAGTCTTTTATGTTCATGTAAATAGACAATTCCCATTACAGACTAATTTTAGAACCAGGCGAAGAGATGCAAATCAAGGCCGGATTTTGGTGAAAATAGTGGGGGAGGTGGAAAAAAATTTAGGGGAGGTGCAGTGGTCTAGCTCATACCCCCCAATATCAACGAGGTGAGGTATGATGTAGTGTACATATGTACCAGTGTATTAATGAATTATGACTGTATGACTCCAATCATGCCCTTCACTACAATTGCTACAAAGTTTCTTTCAAAACATTGCATTAAAAGGGACCTGACTCAGAGATGAATGGCTATCACTGTTTCAATTTTACAGAGAAAACTTTCTTACGTCATGAAGTGTAGACCCTAAGCAACCATCACATTTTCACTTTGTTCCATCATTGAAATTTTCCCAAGGGGAGGTGCATGACCTTTCAGGTGGAAAAATTCTCAGCGGAGGTGCAAAACGATCTCAGTGGAGGTGCGCACCTATCCACAACTCCCCTCAAAATCCGGCCTTGATGCAAATAAATCACCACAGCTAGAAAGAGCATACTAAAATAAGTAAATTATTGCAAAGTTTGGTTGCGAAATGTTGTAAAATACGGAAAATATAGCCTTGCAAAGTTTGTAAATTTTGTATACTTTTGTACTGCATGCGAAAATTGCAATACAAAAGTATACAAAATTTGCAAACTTTGGAAGTCTTATTTTCTACATTTTACAACATTTTGCAACCAAACTTTGCAATTTTACTAATTTTAGTAAGCCCTTCCCGGGAATATACTTTTTTTGCTAAGATAAAAAATTAGTCTGTAATGGGAATTGTCTATTGGTCCCATTATCTATTTTTGTTTCTCTAAATAAAGACTAAAGAGCTAGAGTTTTTGTTTCTCTAAATAAAGATAAAGAGCTAGAGGGTGAGGGGGGGGGGGGTGAGGGGGGCAAAATTTATGTTTTGTACAGTTTCTCCTCAGTCCCTAAAAAAACCCCAGAAATTGAGAACGAACAATATTCATACCAAATTCCTTCTCTAGGTGGACAATGCCCTCGCCAATATTTTTCGATAACCAGGCATGCAACCTCGTTCTCAGGGCTTTCATATGAGGACGAGGGGAGAGACGAGAAAGCCCTGGTCTGGGCCAGTCACATGACTACCCAAAAAATGGCAGTATTTGACAGCTACTCGTCAAGGAGTGGCGAGATATTCTTTAATGAAATATACAAGTCTTCGAAACAAATAAACAGCCAAAACGCTTCTCAATCGATATTATTTATGCTGTGTAGCGAAGTTCGGCACGAATCAGCTGATATCTCTGAAGATCCTATGTCTTCTAAGATATACCGATATTTCTGGAGATTTTCAAGTAAACTACTGCTTAATGTCGACACAGCTTTTGAGCTTTGTAACCGGCCTAGGCGAAAGTAAATCATGCAGTCGGGAAAACGTCTTACTTTGAAAGATTATTTTACAAAACATACTCGTACACACAAGAATCATAAAAATACAAATGTTGAATTGTTATTGTCAACTTTCAAGTTCAGTTATTTTTAGACAATATGGTGTTAGCCAATCAGAATGCAAAATTGAGTGGCCCAGACCAGGGCTTTCAGGTCTCTCCATTCGTCCTCACATGAAAGCCTTGGGAACGAGGTTGCCAGGCATGAGCATCACTCTGATAGTGACACAATTGAAACACTGTACGAAAGTTGACCTGATCCCAGAACATAATATACATACAATTAACCCATTCGACACAATGGTTTTAACCCATTTATGGGAGACCCTAAGCAAATAAAATCATCTGGCATTAGACAGAGTCAAGTAATAAAATAGAGCATATTGGTGCCCAATGCAATTAATAAATCAAATCAAGAGGAGGCAGTTAAATGTATTCAATTTTGGAAGTGTGACTTAACTAACCTTGTGATTCGATACTGTAAACCTCCAAATATAAGCCCCCCCCCTCCATAAGCCCACCACATGTACTAACGCTCACCTCATTACAAATATAAGCCTCCCTGAATACAAGCCCACTTGTTTATCACTATTAATCACTATTATTACTATGCTTAACACTTGTTTATCACTATTATGGTAATATACTTGTTTATCACTATTACACTAACACAAAAGATCGTCCATGTGTAAGTCCCCCCCCCCTATATAAGCCCCCCTGTATAAGCCCATACATCAAAAATCTCTACGACAAGCCCCAGGGCTTATAGTCGGAGATTTATGGTATGTAACCTAGCACAGTAGGCAGATGTCTGCACAACTTAACTACACATTGAACAAACAAGGTGAACTTGTGTCAGCCACTGTCTGGCAAATAGACTTTGATATTATCCAATGTCAGATAAACAACACATACATATACTTTCTAAGTTAAGCAAGACATGCATGAGTTCACCTTGACATTGGAGCGACCGGTATTTTGTATAAATATGTTTGAAACTTTCATTTGATAGTTCAAATCACCAAAATTCAAGGCAAACATCCTGGCAGCTTGTCTATAAAATTGGAAATATTTCTTCCGAGATCTTGTCTTGATCAGAGTTTATTTCTCTGAAGTTTTGAAATAAACATACGTGCAGAAATACACAAACGAAAACAGCACGTTCAATTTTAACACAAGATTAGCGCTATTAAAGTTATTAAACCCACCTTTGATAGATATATTAATAGCGCTAGCAAACAAAAACGGCTATAAAATAACACTGGATTGTTGTGGCCGAATGAAAGAATTCTGTGAGGGTTTTCCTTCGATAATATTTGTTTATGTGAATAAATTTTATTTCATAAAACTAAAGCTAAACGAAAATAACTTGCAGCGAAATGACAGTAGAACAAACGACAGTATTAATGTTATATCACAGCAAAACGTATAAAGCACATACCTTGAGCCTCGACTAAATATGGCGCTGTCGTTGTGAAGTGTCCTGTTCAGCGCTACCGTCTGTACTTTTAATAATACCAAAATTCTTTATGGATCATCCATGGATCAGAGGTCTTTGAAAGCCAAGTTGGATCCAAAATAGTTTGTATACCTCTTTATATCGTAAGATACTAAGATATTATTTAATAACGTCTATAAACGGCGTGTCGCTTTTCACACGGCAAATTCTTTCAAAACATAGTCCTCGATATAAACTCCTTCTTGCACGCAGGATAAGTTACATGTTTTCGTCGAATGTTTCCGTGGTCTGTAAGCGTGTGCTATAAAGTTTGATTCTCAATACGTTTTTAATGCTCCGCATAAAAACTGTTCATATATAATGGCAAATTTTCAACCTTTGTCAGTCTGTCAGTGTTCTCAAATTTCATACGGCGAAGTTCAACTAAAATTTAACTTAGCACTAACCCACAGACAGGAGCCAATGAACGACGAGATACAAATACACGCAGTGTTCTGATTGGCACACAAACAATTTGGAAGCTTGCCAGTATTGCGTGGGTTTCCTCTGAAGTCTAAAGCCCCGTTTACACGACAAGAATTTTGGGCACGGCACTCTTAAATTTTGGCACGCGGACCCATTTCTTTGGGCACGGCACTCTTGATTTTTGTCGTGTAAACGGCACCGGGCCTGTCCGATTGCGGTACGCGTACCTAAAATTTTTGGCGGGCCGAGACCATCTCTTGAGGTAGTCTCGGCCCGCCAAATAAGCGGCACCGTGCCCGAAATTTTGCTATTTCAGCACTTTTCGGTGGCGCGAAATATTTCGCGAGAATTAGTATTAAGCAAAATGGCCGCCGTCAAGAGAAACAGAGGGAAAGTATGGAGCAACGAAGCAACAAAAACCCTGCTTAATCTGTGGTGCGATGAAGCAATTCAGGTTGCATTTGATCAGTCCAAAGGGTCTAAAGAAAGTAGTAAAGTTTATCAGAGGTTACTGGTAAGTTATTCCGCATATTTTTTAATATTTTAACATAATTTTTAGGGTGGCATTCGACTGATTCGAGTTGGCATCATTGCAATTTTAATAGCCACATGGCATTGGCATACGATAGAGCATGCAACAGAACTGCAAAACACAACTTTTAATAGACCACGTTGAGGAAGATGGCTAGTTCTGGTAGTGTGTAATAGCATAATACGTATATTATGTTGGAAATTTTAAACAATATATATTTACGTCATTTTAATACAAAATAAAAGTTACTGTACACGTAACACGTTTAGAATGCTACTTTGTATAATTTGAATGTTACTCAATATATTTTGTAGGATCAGTTACGAGCGAAAGGTTTTTCTGACTTCACATTAAAGGAAGTTGTAAATAAAATGAAAAAATTAAGACAAAAGTATAAAGCTGAGAAAGATAAAACGAAAAAATCGGGAAATGGTAGAAGCAATAAGTGGGTATTTTTTGAGCAGATGGACAGGTTCCTTTCTCAAAGACATAATATCACTCCTGTTGCTCTTGTGGACACAATGGCAGAATCTGAGAAAATGGATCACCAAAGCGATTCTTTAGATGATGATCAGAGTTTAGGTATGCAGCAAGTTTGTTAAGATTCAAGTCAAACCATTTTTTTTAATATCTAATTTAAAAGGCTGAAACTGGTTTAGGGACCAGTCATAAAGTATTTACTAGGGGGTGTGGAGGATATTTTTGAGGGTCCGAAAAAAACAACAGAACCTCTAGGGGGTACCAAAATCTTCGTACTATAGGTACGGAAAATCAGATTTAAGTTTGGAGAGAATTGTTTTACTAGGGGGTCTATTATAGTTCCACAGGTTTTTGGGAGGGTATGGAAATATGTACTTGAAATTTAATTTATCCTCCACCCCACCCCCCCTCTAGTAATTACTTTATGACCGGTCCCTTGATTAATTATGGAGATAGCGTAGCCAGGTTTAGACATAATTAAGAATATAAACATTCTCTGACTAAAATGTTTTATTTAAAACGAGCTTTCGACTACCTAAATTAAACCAGTTTCAGCCAGCCTCCTAATATTGGGAGACACTTTGTGCCCCTAAAATAAACATACCTATAAGCAGAATACAGTAGGAGTGTTGGACTAATGAAAGAGGTACAAACCTGGAGACCTCTAATTTAAAAAAATGTATTACACTTTGTGCTAAACATGCACCTCCCCTCTCCCCTCCAGTAATTATCAGGCTTCCTACACCCCTGAACCAGTCATTATTAAAATGTTGGATGAGAGTTATTGAATATCAGCAAAATAAAATATGGCTAAAGCCTCTTTTTCCTTTTTTCTAAAATTGTATGTCATTTGCATGGATCTTAATTCGACATTGTTATTTAGTACCATCTTTTGTAAAGTAATCTGAATACTTAATTATTAAATTTTACTTCATATTGATCATAATGACATGTTGCATTTTTTGCTAGTTGACAATCTAATGGATAAGTATGGGGAAGGTTCAACACAGATTCACAAATGTCAGACATGTGAGTATGAAAAAAAGATTTACTCAGGAGGCACACACATTACTGAAGGTGGTTCTCTGATGGTGTATGCAGAAGAGGATGAATTTGTGTGTCCAAATTGTGACCCAAGTGCTGTTGATGGAAATGACAGTGATGCTGGTAAGAGCTAGAGTAAATATAGCTAAAAATAATATATTTTATTCCATTGCACCATTACTGGTACACAGGATATAATACAATATAACAGATACATACAAACAATAAAACTGTAGCTATTCCTTAATTACAAACAGTACAGTCAGACAAAATCTTAGTTAAATGTTGTTCTTTAAGTTTTTAATAATCCTGTAGCTAGGCAAAGCCATGAATTTTATAATAATATTACTCAATATTTGATATTTCATATACATTCAACATTTAATTGTAGATGACATATGCCTGAAATGGCTTAATATTTTAAACATTTTCTGGTGGACCATGCCATGACCATCTATCTAGTCCTGGGAAAAAACCATACATTCTGCTCTGGCCAAACCGGCAAAAAGACTTTTAAACAAATGTGTACTGATGTTGTGTTTTTGTGAAACATTAATGTACATTACCGAGGCCGGTAGGGGGGAGATGCCCAAGGCCTGGAAGTCGGGGGCAGCAGAATATCACCAGAGCGCAGCGCGCACATGTGTGCTTGTGTGTGTGATTGTGTATGTGTGTGTGGATGGGAGGCAATGGTCACAAATCTGCCCTGGGGCCCTATGATGGGTCTTGCTAGTCATGCATGTAGACCAAAAATTTTGACTAAATATCATTAGGAGTACCTGAGGTGAATGACCCAAAATTAGAAAACAAAGAAGAGAAAGACATGATAAAAGAAGAAAGTACAACTGATAAAAAGATTGGGGCAAGGAAGAAGAGAAAGAGTACAGTTGAGAAAAGCATGGAAGTCGCTTTTAACCAGTTTAAAGAAACTGCTAAAGATGATTTCGAAAGGTAGGTGATTACACATAAAAGGATGGTTCTGAAACAGATATGGAAGGAGTAAAATCAAACAGGATGACGAGGTTGTTTGACTCTATAAACCTGTGTGCGCTGCAAGGTTTGCAGAGTGGACATGGCTTATTTGTGATATTCCAACAAAATGTCGTTTAGGAATTATTTTAAACCTGCATTAATTCAGACATACATAGTTTATTTCAAATTTAAAATTAGCAAACTGTTATTTCATTTTGAAGTTAAATGTCAATTTTTTAACTTTATATTTTTCAATAATTTTCATAAAGTTGCGGTACCATTGCATGCCTTATTTGTTTCTAATTGCCTATGCAAGTGTATGGCCCTCTAAGTCTACTATGAATAAGTTCCAACTTTAAAAACATGTGGTCCATAAGCAGATGACTCCAGAATTAATTGTGTTGGCCAAACAATATATTGTGAACATTTCTTAAACAATATTCTGTACAATTTAACTATGGCTTTTAAACAGACCAATTGTATTCCCCTAATTAATATCTTCTAGATATAAGAAATTTGAACAGGCAAGATTAGATAAAGAGCACCAATTCTATATGGAACAAGCAAGACTGGAGAATGAAAGAAGAAAGGAGGAAAGGGAACACGAGTTAAAGATTTTTGGTATGATGATTGGCAGCATAAACCAGTCAGGTCAAAATTTAAGCAGCCCGGCGTCCACTTTCTGTTCCCAACCATTTGCCAATGTTCAGAAACAAACCAATATAGGAAACAGCTACGGATGTGATGCTCAGGATGTTACTCGCTACAACTTGGACGGAGACAAAACCTATGTTGATTTATAGATGTACAACATTTATACAGTATTAAAATTAAGGACTAAGTAACGTATTCATATTTGCTATTCTTTACCCATTCTGGGTTACGTAATTTTAGTGCGTTGTGTTATACTGTGCTATGCAACTGTCGGAATAAAGATGCACACGGACGAACGTTGCATGTACAACACCTTGTTTTGGATTACATTTTGGAGACAGTTAGCAATAAATACTGTGTGCTATAGGTTAACAAATTATAATTTGTTCTTTAAAGGATTTTTCCTTGTAAAAAGTTTATTTTGCGAACATTTTAAAGTTTATTTTGCGAACATTTTATATTTAAAGTGTTAATGTCAACCGATGTATATTAATATATTTATATCAATTACCATTGTATGGATTATTGTTCTCAGCCGGACGTCAGTTCTTCCTAGCTAAAGTAATCTGCTAATGCTTCACGAATGTCGTGTGCATCAGCTTCTACAATGTCAACGTTATCAATCCCCACAACTGCCTCTTCGGCTCTTTCTGGTCCTTCCCACTGCGGCAAAAAATCGTTGTTTTGAATTTCGCAAATGTTATGCAGAATACAAGAGGCTAAAACAACATTGACCAGGGCAGGTACCTCCATATCAACACATTTTCTAAATCTAATAAAACGTCCTTTCCACCTGCCGAAGGTGTTTTCTACAGTCATTCTGGCTCTACTAAGGCGATAGTTAAACACTCGTTCTCTTCTCGGCTGGTTATCGTTTCTCTGAAAACCTTTCAAAACCCATGGCAAGAGGGGATAAGCAGGATCTGCTACTATAAATGGTGACATTTCTACTCCTTGTAATTCCACAGTGAGATCATCTGGAAATAGCTTGCCTTCATTCCCTTTCTTGAAAATAGATGAATTTGAAAATACCCGTGCGTCGTGAACGCTTCCAGGCCAACCGATGACCACATCTCTATACAGGTATTTGCAATCCACTACAGCTTGCATGATTATGCTGTGATAGCCTTTCCGGTTTACGTATTCTGCGTGACATTCGGACGGTGCAACAATAGGAATGTGTGTCCCGTCAATCGCTCCAGCACACATTGGAAAACCCCATCGTTGTTCATAATCATTGATAATTTGCACCAATTCGTCTCCATGCGGAAAACTCACAACATACGACAACTTGCTCGTTATTGCTTTGCAGACATCTCTAACGCATAAACACACGAACGATCTTGAAACACCAAATAAATTGGCTATAGTCCTATATTCAGCAGTGGATGCCAAGAAGTATAATGTAATGGCCAGCCGTCGCTTCGCCGAAATTGCAGAACGCATGACTGTATCTTTGCAGCGTATATATTCCATGACTTTATTTAAAAGAAATTCGAATGTCCCCCTTGTAACTCGAAAGTTTGAATACCAAAGTTCGTCATTATACTCTCGATCTACCATCTCGAACCAAGTAAGTGATCGTGGATGCATCCACAGTGCTCTATAACGTGGACGGTTAACACAAACTAATATTGCTTTCAAAAATGTAATTCGCAGTTTATTCGTTGAATAAGCATCTGATCTCAGCAGGGTTTTTTTCTCTAATATTTTATTAGCTCTTTTTTCTCTCCTACGAAGGAACCAAAGTAGCAGTAATTTGAGTTTGTGTGCTTGGTTGAAAGCCGCCATATTTAAATTTTCCCGCGGAAATATTAACCGCTGAAAATGTACTTTGGGCTCTATTTTTACGAGTGCCGTGCCAAATTATTGGAGTGCCCGTCGAATTTTTTTTGGTCCGGCAATTTGGCAAACTTTTGTCGTGTAAACGTGTGAGTGCCGTGCTATGAATAAATGGTACGGTACCAAAATTAAGCGTGCCGTGCCATAAACGTTTGTCGTGTAAACGGGGCTTAAAGGCCGTTTTCCACTAGGCGAATTTATTCGCGCGAACAGATAAAAAGTAGGAAGCGATCCAACCTCGTCCCCAGGGTCTTCTTCGTGCATGGCGCGTGAAAAATGAGAAGACCCTGGTAAAGGCTCTTCTAAACTCCGTTGTGATTGGTTTATACATTTGACCTTGACATGAGCTTTGAGGATGTTGTTACAATGAATATGATTGGTTTACCGCTAAATAATTGTTGTAATGAGCCCTACGATTGGTTGCATGATTTATAAGGATTTTCACAACAATAATTTGTTTTACAGTAAAATGCATGCTTCGCCAAGGCGCGAAGCTCGTTTCTGGCAAATATTTTCCAACATTCAGCCTAATATCAGGCACAATATATAATGGACATCGTAGTGTGAATAAATATAGACATCATTTTGATACTTCAAAGTTGAGACAGCTAATGTTCACATCGTTATCGAAGGTATGAATATAATATACACATAATATTGTATGATCAAACAAACCACAGAACCATTTGCGTTTGTGACGTTTTAGTTCCTCTCAAATACTACCACTTGTTTAATACGAAAACCTCTTATCTGCTTCAAGTGACAGTTTAATATCAGTCTCAGCTGATGCATTTTTATAGCAGAAATAGACGCACAGAACGATTGCTGTTTGTATAGCTTTAATATTAATTGTTACATGTTTAAAAATTATAATAATAAAGTAAGCAGTTCTTGCTGGGCTCATAGGACACCGCAATATTAAAATATTGGTTATATCAATAATTTGTGCTCCTGCTGAAGCACAGCTACTTGAATTTTCCACAAGAATGGATGCCACTAACCTTCACAAATAGAACATTTAAAATATATTCAACATAACTATAAAATTATTTTCAGTTAAATCTAGCATTAGTGTTACACTGTAAATCATCCATAATTATCACAGGTGTACAGAGAGTACACTTTTCAACCCCCTCCCACAGCGACTTAACCGATGATGGTGGGTCTATAGTTCAACATTTTAAAAAGCGTATACTGGTTATGAACTCGCCTACCTGAAGCGTATAGTTTGTACACTTCAGGAAATGTTGGTAGTTATGGATGACGCATAATTGAATTTCATTACCCTTTACATCATTGTGAATTACCATTTGCATGCATGTGACACTAACAGCATGATCTTTATTCTATACCATATAGGAAAAATTGAACACATCTGTCCTGCAGAGCTAGTACAAATTTACATTAGCAACTATTGAATCAGTGAGGGAGGTATAATAAAGCAAGTAAATGCAACCAAATCAAAATTGTTTGTCTCCACACTGCACTTCCTCGTCAATGGACAGCTCAATGAGAACAAATGTTGTGGACAACTGTGGTTTGGACATTGCAGGCTGGCTGCACATTTTGCAATGATGTACATGCAGGAGAGCAGTTGTTGAAGCATCAATGAAATCGATTTCCAAAAAGCTCGAAGGCTTACTTTTTGAAATGACTGAGAATTCATTTTCGATATGAGTGAGAGCTCCTATCAGCCACATGTGAGGATGTGTATCACCACCTCTTTTGTCTACCTATACACAGTACACAGAAGGAAAAACAAAGACCAGATTTTGAACTGAGTAACTTTATTTAACTTAAAACAGCACTGTATATAACTTTAAATATTGTAAAAAATGAAATATCAGTTAAATACTAATTCAGTAAGAATTGTCTTGGTATGAAAATATCTCTTTCTGTTGTATATGCATTGCTCAATTGCCATGTCACTTTCTTGAGTATTACCAGAATATTAATAAGTATAGTTGAGCCAGCTTCCTAATATTATGGAATCTAGGATAGTTGTTGACTTTGCGGTTTTCCGGCTTAATAACCTCGTATTAGCAACATTCCTACATGTGAAGACTAACAGCATCCCCATTAAGTTGTACATATACAGTTGCAGTCTTCTTGACAGTCCTTGTTTTATCCATATTGATGTTTGAGAAGCATGAATATCTAAAATATAATACAATTGATTTGCATTTCATTTCATTTCACAAACTGGAAACCTAAATCTATATGTTACACTAAATCTATCCAATTAATTTATTAACAGTAGATTTATTTCTAATTGAGGCAGAAACATACTTACATAGGTTACATTTGAACAAAACTATCTCTAAACTGGTTGGCAATCTTTTAGTTTTACTGATTCACCATTCAGTGAACAATATAAACTCGCAGCACAAATGAAATTTTTGCTGTCTGAAAGGGGATGGGGAAATGCACTTTTATAATAGTAAAATGTAATAGGATGTGCAAAAGGAAAGGGAGTTCTAACCTCCTATGTGAGAGCTGTGGATCTAAGGCAAATTATTCCACATGTAATGCTCCAAGGGAATAAACTACAAATTACAATATTATTATATACCAGAATATTTATAAACATGCGATAATTTTTAGTCAAAATAACTTGAACAAGTGGAACGTTCACAGTATAAAAATATTAAAATGGATCATTTAGTGATGAGATTATGGCCCACTAGTAAATTTTCATTATCGAAATATAATTTCTCAAAACTAAGCGCTTTAAAAAATATACTTTTTAGGCATATTAGCCCAGTCATAGGGCCATTATATGTTGAATGATAATATTTTGTGTTCAATATATAGACCACAGTAAGACTTTTTTAAATGTTTATTTCATTAACAAACGACGTTTCGGAGATTTACTCCATCTTCAGGTAGGATTACAATTTGAATTTAGTCTTACTGTGGTCTATATATTGAACACAAAATATACTAATAACATGAGACTTAGGGAAAGTTCGTTCCTAAACATTTTGAATGATAATATAAATAACAATATATTGTAGTTACAATTACCTTCACAGTGACAGCGCTGTCAGACTGCCAGTGCAAGCAAGCCGTGAGACATGACAAACAACGCGGATTCTTCGGCCAGGAAGATAAAAATTAGACGTGCTAGCTTCTTGTTATTTTCTCTCTCTAGACATCTTAATTTTTGAAGAGAAATTACTTACCTAGAGGTATATTTTAGCCAAAAAAATACATTTCCAAACTGAAATATTTCATCTCAAGAAGGCCATGAAAAATTTGTACGCCAGCAATGAATCGGTCAGCGCCAAGGCAAATTCGCTTTTGCGCATGCACTAAAATGTCCATGAATCGTGGAGATTTTCGCAGCCTTTACCAGGGTCTTCTCATTTTTCACGCGCCATGCACGAAGAAGACCCTGGGGACGAGGTTGGAAGCGATCCTACTTTTTCGCCGCGAATTTTTTCGCCGACCAATCACGTTGCCGGATTTCGGTTTTCGCTTCGCGTCGCGCGAAAAAATTCGCCTAGTGGAAAACGGCCTTAAAGCTGTGTCAAAGATTAGATACTATAAAGATGTGTCACTCTGCGAAAATTATGTCCGAGATTTTTTTATAGCCGCCATTTTGCCAGTAAGTGTCAAATTCGTCAAAATTCGTCATATAGCGCGAGCATCGCGATGGCAACCTATTGTATTCAGTCTCGCCGCCATTTTGGCAGTAAGTGTTATGCACTCGTCATCTCGCGTGATCACTCGTGATCAACACGGAAAATTACGGACACGCAAACATTAGGGAAATACGTCGAGTGACACATCTTTATAGTATCTAATCTTTGGCTGTGTCTAAAGTCTAAACAATCTTCATTTTTCAGCGCACATGCATATTTGCTGTTTAGATTATGGATTATATTTGTTATTGCTGATTCCTTATTTCGCTCGGCAAACTGTTTATAAATTATAACTTACATTCAGAGAGACAAACTGTTCTAAATGATAACACCAGAAGCTGTGCATGTGTCTGGCGGTTTGCCGTATTATATATGTCAACAACATGATTTTGCAACGCTCAGTAATACAGAAGCCAGACTGCCAGAGGGTAAGTTTTCAAATATATAGTAGCTTCTAAAACCTTGTAACAATCTTTCGTTGGTAGGGATGCAACTACCTGATAAATATAAGGAGAATGTGTACGTATCTAGCGCAGGCTCTTTGTCTGGAGTTAGTAAGTTACTGAGTTTAATACTACAGACGAAGGGCCTTCGCTCGAAACGTCGACATTTTTTTCAGGTAGTTGCATCCCTACGAACGAAAGCTTGTTATTGTTGGCACTACCAACCCTGACACAGACAGTTCAGAACCAAGTTCTGACAGAGACACTTCAGTATCAAGTGAATTGGCTACATGATATATTACAATAGGCTGCGTTATGTAATATTGTGTATCCTTGTGTCTCCTAATATTGTGACGATACTAATATTTGATAGTTGATACTGTTAATAGGAAATTGATAAATGATCAAACCGTGCCTTGCTTTTAGCCTTATAAATGAAACCATCGAGTTTATGTAGGACTAAAGTCTAAACACAAGCCATGAAACATGTGGCCAAGGCAAAATCAATGATCTGGTTTCTTGCACTTCACTTGGTGGAATTAATATTAGAATGCTGGTTTTAGGGTTTGTAGTCCAAATGAGTATATATACACTTTAATTCCAGACCAGGAATGACTGCGAAAAATGCAGCACAAGGTTCTCTGGTAGGAATTGAATCTACGGCCTTGCAATTTCGGTGCAGCGCTCTAAACAACTGAGCTACAGAGGCCAGCTAGCGCTGTTGAGCTGTAACCATAAATTCATGTATATATAGGTGTGCGGGTTGTGAAAATGCAGCACAAGGTCCTCTGGTAGGAATTGAACCTCTGCAATTCCAGTGCAGCGCTTTAACCAACAGAGCTACGGAGGCCAGCTGTTAAGCTGTAACCGTAAGTTCATGTATATATAGGTGATCGGGTGTGCGGGTTGTGATAAGGTGGACTTCAATTATCTGGTTACTTGCACTTCGCAACAGCTGGCCTCTATAGCTCAGTTGGTTAGAGTGCTGCACCGGAATCGCAGGGCCATTGGTTCAATTCCTACCAGAGGGCATTGTGCTACATTTTATGCAGTCATTCCTGGTCAGGTCTTGAAGTGTATATATA